TCTTTTACCTTCCTGAGTTTCTTTTGTTTGAGTTTTTCTTTATAGTTATGTGTTTATTTATCACGTTCTTCGTAATTTATTTTGTTATAAGTAACTAAACCCATAGTCAGGATTATGGCAGATCCTACTACAAACATTGTGTGATTTTTACTTTAATGTTGTTGATATTGATTTTTTCTTTAATATTTAATTTTTATTCTATTAGATTATATTGTCTATGTTAAGATTTGATCACCTTTAGCACTTCATAGTTAGTTGCATTGTAGGCGATCGTACCACATGTAATCAACTAAACTATAGGATAAAATGAGATAAGAGGCTAGATTAATCACATTTAATTCATTTCTTTCAGCCGTTATTGAATTAACAAATTCATAGAATTTTCATGCTTTCTCGACCAATTACCTTGCATGATCATTGGGGTGTTTGCTCAGACAAAAAGAATATTGACATTGCATAATCATTGGGTGTTAATAGAACTAATTATGAGTGGTTGACAAATATTTAGATATCAATATCAGGATTAAATTAATTAGAACATAAAGAAGTGTAGTTGATGAACCCATAAGTCTTAGGCTCATCTCATCTGATCTCTCTCATACATTGTATTACAGTTCTTTTAATTTATTATTAAAATTAAATTCTATTTTTTATCCGTTATAATTCCGTTACATTTAAACAATCAAATTAAGTTATTTTTGATACTTAAAAATAATCTTTGTAAGACGATAATTTAGAAACTCTTAATTTAAAAACACTTTATTACTTTTTGATAGATACACTTGATTATAAACAAATAAAATAAAAATCACTCAGAAAAATGAAAAATGAATTAATAAAATTATATTATAATTTGGGTGATGGCCAGAGCTGATGAGCAGCACGATACTCAAATACATTGTTCTGTCTGCAGATATGTTTTTTTTTTATTTTCGCAAGCCAAAAGAAAATCAATTTTAATATTAATTTCCTTTACAGAATATATAGTACAAATTTGAGCCCATTTTATATGGTTTGCAATAACTGCCAGTAAGAAATATAGTTTCAAGCAGTTTTAACAGTGAAACAAAATATAAAATGGTTCCTTATTAATAAAAATAAATAAAATAAACGGTAATACAAATCTTAAGGTAAGAAGCAATATATTTAACAAAATAAAATTAAATGTCCGATGCACTTGCCACTTACCACCTGAAAAGATCATATATTTCGAAAGTGAATTATTTATTAAATATTTTCATTGAATTAAAATTCTCCTATTTTTAGCAACCACACTTTTCATTCATGTGAGGAAGGTGATAAGAACTATTTATGGTACAATTGATGAAAAATACAAATTTCTTTTTAAGTAATCACTCTTAATAATTTATGTATGATTCTCTGATGAAAGTATATATATATATATATATATATATATATATATATATATATATTCGCTTCTTGTAGCACAGTTGAGGCACACATTTCATTGTTGGGAACACGTGGCCGATAGAGAAAGGCCTTAAATGTTTCAACAATCCATATGAACGTGAGAGAAAGACAAATAAGCTGATTCCATCAGATACAACGTGGCAGAAGCAAGACAAACAAATGTCGCTGCGGTTGCTTTAGACACAGTGGGGACTGTGGATATTTATTCAGTTTTGAGAAATTCTATGAAAAAGAAAAACGAAACCTCCAATTATGCAATGCAAATGCAATGTATGGAAACAAAGATGACAAAATGGTTTTCTGTTTTAGTGACAACACATGTATATGCCAATTAGCATCGAGTTATGAGATCACCAACCTCTGTATAGGTTCTCTCTATTCATCTGCAGATAGCATACGTACGTAATGAGGTTGCTTCTTCTTTTCGTTTTACTTTATCATTTCAAAACTATTTTAAGCCAACCACAACGGAATGGGAAGAAAATTTTCTTTTGCTAAATCAGATACCAAAGTGGACACATTTACTTGCTGACCTAGTTACGCCATTCTTTATTTAACTGGTTAAATGTCGTTTTTTGTTTTACCCTACCATTTCCAATAAAATCTAACCATTCCCTTGCAAGGGAAGCTCACGTCAAACTATCATGAACTGCTTGCAACATATTCTTATCACACTGTTTTTTATTATATTTCTTTTTTTTAGTTATAATTTATTCAAATTATAAAAGAGTAAGTAGTAATTATTAAATTAGAAATAAAATTTGTATGATTTTTTGTAATTTTATAAATTTTAACTAATAATAAAAAATATATTAAAAAGTGTATTGCTCTATTTTCTCTATTAATATTGGCAGAATTTTGAGCTGCACATTGTGAAATGAGATGCAAGAATAGTTACAACTAATATAGGAAAAGTTAACTAACGATTGATATTAATTACTTCTAATTTAGTGATTAAGTAACACTATTAGCTCCTTGAAAAAAGAGAATTGTTTGAAAAAAAACAAAAAACTAGACAATTGTTTCTTTCTGCGAATAAAAGTGTATTATAGGTGTCCCCTTCCCCAACATCAAATTTATTGGTTTTTAGTAATTCCAACACAAAAAAGGAGCTATGTGTAACTCATTAATCAAGCATCATTAACCTTATATTCTCTAAGCTCTTAGACTCTAGAGTCCCACTTGGGTTTCAGGGTCCCTGCATACTATGCTTCACTTTCACAACTCTGAACGTGTCCCTACCTTACCTTCTATGATAAGTGATAAGAATATGCAAGTGTCTCATAAAAAAGCTAGCTCTCTCACACACCAAGGAATGTCACTTAACATACGTGGTAGGCAAAATGCTGGGCTTTCTATTTCATTCTGTTTGTGTAACATTTTTCATACAAGGTGATCACCTTTATAAAACAAATTCATGACTTCACGTGATGTTATATGGCAGGTTCAACTTGTCAACAATTAATTTGAGAACATTCAAAATTAACTATTCTTATCGACATTTGTTTATCTAATAGTTGAATCCTTCTTTCTTCCACCATTTTGTATTTAAAACGAAAAAAGTGAATTTCATTAGTTTTTATAAATTGAATTTGATGAAAAAAAAGAAAAAGATAGAACCGTTCTTTTTATATGAGAAGATGATTTAATTGAAATCATTTAAAGCCTTTAAAATATATATGTGCTTTAATAGTTGATTTTTTGTTTTAAATAAAACATGTACTACAGTATGTTAAACAAAAAAATGATTTAATAAGTAAAAACTATCACGAGTTTTCTTATTTAAAGTGTTGAAATAAACTTTTTTATATTATTAAAATATTTTTAAAATGTTTTAAATTATAAAACACTTTAAAAAATTTTACTTTCTGCAACATTTCATTTCAAAAGCGTTTTAAAATATTTAATTGCAACATTTTATAACATTTATAAACACGTTAATTTTAATGCTATAATATCTCAAATTTGAATAATGGTTTTATAATTTAATCACCTCTTTTATCTAACCGTATAATTCTAAAATGGTATATCAAATAAGTCTTACAAACTACTTCACAGTCCACATCTTTATATTTTATTTATATTTGTTTTAATTTCTCCCTTCGCCCATATTCGTATTCAGTATAGTTGTTGTAGTTGCTATACTACTTGTCTACGAGTTTTACTCTATCTTTCTAATCATGTACTTATTAAATAAAAAATATTTATTTAATAAATAAGAAAACTGTAGCAATTAAAGTAAAACATTTAAACAGTCTTAACTTTTAATAGATGCACCGTTTCCTTATTTTAGGAATGGTAACTTCATCCTTTTATTTCTTGTCACGTTAATTTCTCAAACTATAAAATTGACTTTGGGAACGATAGCTTATTTGAAAAGATGAAATAGTTAGCAGCTCCGTTGAAACATGGGCATTAAATATAAATTTTTAATTTCAAAAATATTATCTTTACAATTTTAATATGAAAATATTAAATTAACTTTAAAATTTAAGATGCTGTAATTATCTTGTAAATTCAATTTTTTAAAATTTATTAAGATTATAGCCCATAAAGTTGATCAAGTATAATTACGTTATAATTCATTGTAAAAAATACAAAAATTTATAATATTAAATGTGTGTAACAAATTAAAAAATATATAAATATGAATTTGAACGAAACATAAAAATTAATAACATTAAGATAAACGCATTAATCTAAACAAGAATTTAAATATGCATTAAATAAATCCGAAGCACCGTCACCGTGCCTTGAAGAAGAGGTGCACCACAAAAGGCACCTTTCATTATTAGTAGGTCATTGTTTTTCTTTTCCCCGAACAAGACTTGCATCTTAAGCAAAACAGTTTTCCCAGTTCTAACATTTTGAGCAAGAGTGCAACACCGAAGCTGGTTCAGTAGATCATAACTCAACACCTTTCGCGTTTTCATATTACGTGAAAATTAAGAGCTGTAAGTGGTCCACGCACGTCGTAGCAGGTAACTAATCTCTTGTCACTTGAGTTTAAACTGAGTCTCAAACCCAAGATTAGTTTTTGCATGTTATCAATGTTGATTAAAGAATAAAAAAGACACGTAAAAGCATCTTTCTAGACGGTTAAAAAATGGTTTCCCTGTGGGGTTATCCAAAAAAAGCCTTGAAAAGAGAAAAAAAGGGGATAACAAAGGCAATCCAATATTTACCAAGAGGAAACCGAAAGTGCCGGACCCAAATTAACAAATCAAAAAATTCAGATAATAAATAGTTAATTCGGTAACCTTTTAAAAAATAAAAATAAACATGAGACACGTGTCCACACATAATTGACGAAACCACGCGTGCCATTCGTTCCCACGGCATATATATATATAGTCATTTATACCCTCTCCCTCCTCTCCCGCCCTTTCCCACAATTTTCATTCTTCACAACCTCGCCCCCCAATTATATACCCATTCATCAAACTAAACTCCTCACATATTCTACTTTTTTTCTTGCATTTTCCTCATTCACATTGGTCACAAAGGAGATCAATTAATCAACTAAGCAATCAATTAATTAAACTAAACATTATTGTGAAAATAGCGCCATGTTTGGAGAAAGCAAAAGGAGCTTCCCACGCCCAGAGTTCGTGCAATCGGAGCCCAGAATGTCGACAACCGAAGCCTTAACGGACGACGAATCCACCATAAGAAGCAGCAGCGCGGCGTCACCGATGAGTCCTTACTACTACGACCAGGGAAGGTTAAGCGGCGAAGGCTCACCAATGATGATGTCACCGTGGAACCAAACCACCAGTTCCCCATTCTCCAAACCACAATGGTCACAGACTCAATACGACGATAATGCCCCACAAAACGCACTCATCGGTTCTCTCGTCCGCGAAGAAGGACACATCTATTCCCTCGCCGCGACCGGTGACCTCTTGTACACCGGCTCAGACAGCAAGAACATTCGCGTTTGGAAGAATCTTCAAGAGTATTGCGGCTTCAAATCTAACAGTGGTTTGGTCAAAACAATCATAATCTCTGGCCAGAAAATCTTCACCGGTCACCAAGACGGTAAAATCCGCGTCTGGAAGGTTTCTCCAAAGAACCCCAGCGTCCACAAACGCGCCGGAACGTTACCCACGCTGAAAGACATCTTCAAGAGTTCAATTAAGCCCAGCAACTACGTCGAGGTCCGCAGGCACAAAACGGCTTTGTGGATCAAACATTCCGACGCCGTTTCGTGCTTGAGTCTCTCCGATTGTAAAACCTATCTCTACTCTGCGTCTTGGGACAGGACGATTAAGGTGTGGAGGATCGCCGATTCCAAGTGTCTGGAGTCGATCGCGGCTCACGACGACGCCGTGAACGCCGTCGTGTGCTGCGACGAGGGCGTGATGTTGTCCGGTTCGGCGGACGGAACAGTGAAGGTGTGGAGGAGGGAGGCGCGTGGGAAAGGGACAAAGCACGCGGCGGTGAAGACGCTGCTGAAGCAGGAGTGCGCGGTGACAGCGTTGGTGGTGAATCCGGAGGGGACGATGGTGTATTCGGGTGCTTCGGATGGGATGGTGAATTTCTGGGAACGTGAGAAAGGTTTGGCGCACGGTGGGGTTCTGAAAGGGCACAAGCTTGCGGTGCTGTGTCTCGCTGCGGTGGGGACGTTGGTGTTTAGTGGTTCTGCTGATAAGACCATATGCGTGTGGAAGAGGGAAGGGGTTATCCACACGTGTGTGTCGGTTCTCACGGGTCACGACGGCCCAGTTAAGTGCCTCGCCGTGGAAGCGGATAGGGACGCCGCCGCAAGAGAGAATAAACGCTGGATTGTGTATAGTGGAAGTTTGGATAAGTCCGTAAAGGTTTGGAGCGTTTCCGGGGATAATCAGATGCAGCACGTCAGCATGGGCTCTGATGCTGACTCCTTGCCTTCTGAATCCGATGGGAGCTTCTCTTCGGGCCGGGTCAGCCACAACAGAATTAACTGATCGTATAGTTTATATGGGCGCGGCCCATTTTATTCAACGCCACGTGTCTTCACGGGAGGATTCTTGTGTTCTCTCTCTGTTATATTCGTTGACTTTGGGTGAATGATTTTGCAGGCATTGTGGAAGATCTTTTTAAGTATTATTTATGTATTGAAATGTATTTTGTGTAAGGATGAATGGTTTTGAGGTAGTTAAGGACTTCTGTCGGGGCTTGGGTATCACATGTTGGATCGATTCATCTTTCTTTGAATTGAATTGAAAATCAGGTTTTGAGAATGCCAACCACTATGATTCACATGTCATGAATTAACATTAACCCCCCATTTTCATTTTTTCGTTATTAGTTGTCTAGTGATAATCATTTCAACATGTTATAATGGTGGTTCTTATTCTTAAGCCAAACAAAATCGTTTATTGTTTGAAATTATAAATTTAATTGAACATGCATTGTGATGTGATTAATATTCAATGAATCCGAGTCTATAATAAATTTATTAACATATCTCTTTAATTTTTAACCCCTAACTATCACAAGATATTCCAAGTTTCAAACAGACCCACCATGTAATGGTGCATGAATAGTTAAACTCTTAACTAGTTGTTCCTGATACGCGCGATCTTTTCCAGGTTTTTTTTTTTTATGGTATAATACATAGAGATATTTGGTTTCGTGGGATGATGGAAGTTTTTTAGAAAACTTTTTTAAGGGTGTATTAGGGCAGTTTTACTTAAATAATGCTTTTTTAAAAATAATTTCTTAAAATAAAGTTTTTTTAAAATTAATTTCTTATCTGATATTTTTTTTCGTCAACTCAGCAGCATTGTCGTCCATGCATTAACGATAGTAAATTTTTATTATTATTTTAATATATTATCACTTTAATATGTCTGATATTACACTAAAAATTGACACGTGTCATAAAATGATAACAAAATTTTATTATTATTTTAATGCACTATCGTCGTATAACATCCTATACTCATAATTTTTTTTAATTATTTTAATATTGTTGCAGAATAACCATTAGATATCCAACTCCTCAACCATTAAATCCCACTTGTCTAGACTTAAGTTATCAGAGACAATTGGAAATTTGAACAGCTTGAAGAGATTGATTGTTGAAACAAATGAGCTAGAGGAACTCCCGTATACAATTGGAAATTACTCTTCACTATCGTGCTTAAGTTAGATTTCAACCAGCTCAAGGCCCTTGTTGAGGCGATTGGGAAGCTGCAATGGTTGGAGATTCTCACTTTGCACTATAATAGGATTAAGAAATTGCCTTCCACAATGGGTAATCTATCCAATTTGAAGGAGCTTGATGTTAGCTTTAATGAGCTTGAATCTGTACCCAAGAAACTGTGTTTTGCAACTAATTTGAAGAAATTAAACTTGGGAAAGAACTTTGCTGACCTAAGAGCCTTGCCAAGATTAATTGGAAACCTTGAAATGCTTGAGGAGTTGGATATCTAATGGTTATTCTGTAACGATAATATTAAAATAATAATTAAAAATTATGAGTATCAGATGTTATACGACGATAGTGCATTAAAATAATAATAAAATTTTGTTATTGTTTCATTTAGTGCGATATTCATCTAATTTCGACACGTGTCAATTTTTAGTGTAGTATCAGACATATTAGAAAGATAATATATTAAAATAATAATAAAAATTTACTATCGCATGGACGATAGTGCTGCTGAGTTAGTGAAAAAAAAAATACCAGACAAGGAATTAGTTTTAAAAAAAATCTTATTTTAAGAAATTGTTTTTAAAAAAATATTATTTAAGTAAAAATGCCGTGTATTAGAGTGGGAAGTATTTATACTAATTTCAATAATTAAGTTAACATTTAAAGGTGTACCATATAGGAATACTTCGGCTATTACTGACATGTAAGTTGCATCGCCTTTTAGAGCTCGAGGCATATAGCAGGATCAATTGTGTACTATTCATCCATGATGATTAAAATTTTCTAAGTTACACAATTTTACACATTTCTTCTTTTCTCAAAATTTAATTATTTAACCGTTTCTTGATTTAATTAAAATGAAATGATAGTGTAACATACTTTTATACTATCCTCAAATTATAAAAAAAATTAAATTAAATTTTTTGTTTTAATTAATATAAAAATCATATCTATCATATATTATAATCAATTCAAAGTGTAAAAATGTTTATATTCCAATAAATATGCAAAGGCTATGGAGAGGAAAGGTCCCTCTTAAGTGTCTGGTTTTTTCTTGACAATTGTTGTTGAATGCACTTCCTTGTAAAAGTTTACTGATTAATCGTGGTGTTCAAATTGATGATATAACTTGTTGCTTCTGTCATGATTTGAAGAAACTTCCAACTCATTTATTTTTAACGTGTTCAGTTTCATCTCAAATCTGGTACTTTAATGCGCGTTGGCTTGGATTCTCACTGATTTTGCCTTCAGATTTATCGACTCACTTGCTTTCTTGAGTTGGTATTGGATGTAGTAAAAGAGAAGGAATATGCTTATTAATTGTTTGAGTAATTACAGTGTGGTCTTTGTGGTTGCATAGAAATATAATTATATTTTTTAATGGTGTTTTGGATGAGAGAGAGGTCTTAGATTCTATTATTCTGAGATCCTGGAAATGACTATCACTTGTTAGTAAGGGAGAAGTTATTATGTTAACAGATTAGTATTTGAATCCACGAAATTACATCTGTCTTAATTTTGCATAAGTATATTTTTGCTTTTTATTTCTCTAAATAAGTAATTTTTTTTGTGTATATGGGTTTTGAGTTCCCTTGAATTCTTTTTAATAATATTTGTTTTGCCTATTAAAAAAAAAAAAACAAAGCAACCAAACGTCAAGTGTTAAGTTTCTTATTTGTTAGACGAATTTTTGCATGACCTAACTAAAATTATTAGAAACATAAATTCACATAATAATGGACACATTTAACGTCTTGAACGATATAGATGAGCGTACATCATCAGCATGTCCTACTAATAAGCCTGCATGGACAGGTTTTCATTTCTCATAAAAATATGACAGTGTTTTTGAATTCATAAAATTATTTGTCATCTGTATATTCTTAAATTAATTAATTAATTCAAACGATAAAAATAACACGTATATGCTAGATGTAATATTTAAGTTCAAACCGTCCTTCTATTCTTTTAGTGAGAAATTAATTCCTTCTATTGTTAATTTTTTATTACAATCAGAATTTTACAATACGTTTCATGTTTTTGTATATATCTACAATTTCAAGACTTTTATGCTTTATTCTAACGTTTTATATTTAAGTGATATATGTGCTTTTTTGGTATTACTATTTGATTTTATTATCAATAAGTCAACTTGTAAATTTTCATTTCCCTTTTCTTAATATATTTGAATTATTTGTATAAAAAAGCCATTGAAACAATTATAATTATAAAGAAAGAAAATAATATTACCACCAAAAAGTTGAAATATTATAAAATTGAATAATAGTCTCTTTCCTTACAAACACATTTTTTATTATATTTTTAAAAGAATGACTAACGTTTGGTATAATTTGATTAAAAGTGAATAAATAAATTAATTTTCCTCATGCTTTCTGATTGGTCAATAATTTTCTCTTTATTCATTTGTCTTAATTATCACATTATTTTGATTATAATTGTCATTAATATTAATCAATCATCTATCAATGCATGCCTATAAATTATTTTATAAAAGTGAAAATATAATTTTATAGGTCTGTGCTATGGTACTCTAATTTTTTTTTTATAAATACCGTACCTAAAAAATTTAAACTAATAAAAATAAAACATGTAGTAAGTTTAAAAAAATTATATATAATTTATTTAAAATTATATTATTTATATTATTTGCTATATAGTCCTATTTATATATATATATTGAATTTTTATTTTATTTTTTAATTATTTTTTATAAATTTTAATTTTGAATAAAATATAATTTATATTTGAGTAATTTTTATTTATTATAAATAAAAATAATTATAATATAATAATATAATAATTAAATATTAATAATAATAAAATTAAAATATAAAAAATATATAAATATAATAATATTATTTTTTTTTAAATTTTAATTTGTTTAATTTTGATTATATCCTAATCTAAGATTTGACTATTTTTTAGAATTTAAATATGATTAATATAATAATTTATTATTTAATAAATTTATTATTTAAATACATATTTAAATATCATTGATTAGAAATTTTCATGTATACTATTCTTAAAATTTTGCAGACTATCACAGAATTTACCAATTTTATATCTTTATTATCAATCATTACCACAAATGAAACGTGTATATATAGGTAATTGTAGGAATCAGTCTTTATGTCATAATGTGATAACTTATTTAACAAAAAGGATTTATTCCCAGAATGGCATAAGTTGAGGACAACATAGATAATAATTTATTGACATTTCTTTAAATTTATTATGTTATTCATATAAAGATACATTAAATTCTATTTTACAATCTAAGATATCTTTAATTGTTTTATCCACATCAATATACAAAAATTGAAACTTCATTCTTGTTCTAACCAAGTCACATCCTTCTTCTCATTAAGTTATACATCTTTCTTATACTGTGACATGCATGTGCTATGAGTTTTCACATTAAATCAAATTAATATACTTTGTTAATTATTCATTTAAATAAAATAAAAGATACATTTTCTTAATTCTATTAATCAATACTTAAATTTCTTCAATTAACATTAATATAATAGAGCATTTTCAAATCATCATTAAAATAATTTTTGATATTTTGAAGTTTTAAAAAATTTTAAATGTCTATTTTATATTTATTAGTAGACACTATTTTATTACGCTTATATGAGCAATTGGAATTGGAGCCATATTAAATCAATTCTTTATCACTGATTTCATTCTCTTATTCTATGTTCAATTTCGTTTTAAAGGATTGTGGCCATATTACATCAACGTGAAGTGGCTCAAAGTTTGTACTATCAATCGAGT